CTCTCCTTTTTTTCTTTTTTTTTTTATTCTGGGATTTATTTACCTTCTATGGCTGTCACTGGAGCTGAGAGCCAGCTTTAGCTCTGATACTCAGCTCCAGCTCTGAGACCTCGGCTGCTAAAGCAGGTATCTGGGCTTTGTTTAGCTTCTATAATTGAAACACTGTTGCAACTCCAGCTCTGAGGCCCGGCTGGCTGAAAGCAGGTTTCTGGGGATTGTTTAGCTTCTATAATTGCAACATAGTTGCTTAGACTGCAGCTCAGAGGCCGGCAGCGGCAGGCGGGGAACCTTGGCTTCCTCCATCACTGGAGCAAGCAAGCCTCCTGTTCTCTTCAGGTGCCTGGCTGCCGGCCGCCATCTTGGTTGGCAGTTAATTTGCATATCGCCCTGATTAGCCAATGGGAAGCGTTCGGAGGTACGGTTAATTACTATGCTTGTCTATTATTAGATAGGATATAGATTGGATATGTCACAATCCACCCCTCCTCCCTGCCAAATCTCCTTCTGTCTTTTAAACTGTTCAAAATATGTGTAGAAAATTTTTAAATTTTACTTGCAATAAACAAGCCATACTCTTAAAAACCTCATTACAACTTTAACATTAGAATGTAAGATATAGTTAACTAAATTATGAGGATTGTTTAGGCTCCCATGTGAGAGTTTGAGGGCTTAGCTCCTCAAGTACTAAAAGAACAGGTTTATAAGCACATCTCATCTAACTGTCAATTTCATAACATGAATGATGTGTAGAACTTTCAAGCAAACTCCTAATATAACATTTCCCTCAAAACAAGAGTACATATAAAATAAAAATTAAAATTTACATTTCTATTTGTTCTGCCTTCTTCCTTTTTTAAAATATATTTTTATTGATTTTTTTACAGAGAGGAAGCGAGAGGGATAGAGAGTTAGAAACATCAATGAGAGAGAAACATCGTCAGCTGTCTCCTGCACACCCTCTACTGGGAAGTGAGCCTGCAACCAAGGTACATGCCCTTGACTGGAATCGATCCCCGGAACCTTTCAGTCCACAGCCCGACGCTCTATCCACTGGGCCAAACCGGTCAGGGCTGCCTTCTTCCTAAGATAATTTAAAGCAGCTAAGTATTATATAATAGAATCTGCAATACTTGGATTTCAAATACTTTGGGAGAATGTGTCAAGTTATAAATAATAGATACATAATAATACAGTATGCACTCGGTTTTCAAGTTTTGTTTGTAAATACAAGATAACTTGTATTATATTGTTTTCTGGTTTAATACAATGGCCAGACTAGCATTTTTTTAAAGATTCATAATAGACAAATATGTTAAGAAAATAAATAAATTCTTTAAGAGATGAATATGCTTAATACCAGAAGAGAGGAACTTTATAATATCTGAGATTGTAATTATAAAACCATTGGTATATTGATTGCCCTATGTTAATTTCAAATATTTGTGAATTTTTAAAAGTCTTACAACTTCCCCCAAAGACGTGGAAAAGAGAAAAACTACCTTGAAGTTCCAAATTCAAGGATAAATAAAAAATTGTTAAGCTTCTGGCTTTCAAAATAGGATTATGGTTTCTGCAACAACACAAAAGTTTGGAAAGCAATGTCAAACAGAGAGGTATTGGTTTGCTAAATCTATTTTGCTCTCTTACCACAATTCTGAATCACACACTCAGTATTCCCATAAGGGAATACGATTGTTAATTCTAGACACTTATCCTCTTATTGCACCTCTACCCAAGAATGAAGGGATGAGGGGATGATGGCTGTTTGCCCAGACAAGTGTCTCACCAATAACTCCTTCCTGCCTTTGCATCTGCAAACAGTGAGGGCTTATCTGAGGCTGAAAAACAGGCTTATCCAGAGGGAGTTTGACACCAGCATTCGACAGTTGGAGCTTCACCCCAGGCTTTCCCATTCAAAGGCTGTCTGGCCTTAAAAGCGACACTTAACCTCTCTGAACTTCAGGGATAATAATAATAATAATAATCAACAAACAGGGTGCTGTAACGTTCAGTCGATTAGTCACAACCCACAGCTCCCCACATCCTTAGGTGCCGCCAGGAAGACAACTCCAGCACAGGCATTGTTCATGGACAGACGAGTTGGTTTCAGGACTGTGTCAGATCTGCTCCTGGCTTCAGAGCATGGCTGTTGGGAAGGTTGGCGCCAATTCCGACGCCAGCAGGAAGCCCCAGTTTGGGGTGTGGTGAGGAGGGAGAATTTATTCAGGCAACAGTAGCAAGGGTCTGCTCTGCCCCGCTCCTCCCAGAGGTCTTCGATGTTTCAGCTCCAGCCGGAAAGCGCTTCAGTCTTTGGACTTTGGTCTTCGGTAGAAAGTCTGTTTTGTTTTAACGTCACTGTATTTTAAACTGTTCTTTGTCGTGGATAACGAAGTGGGAGGGGCGCTATTCTCTCCATAGAGATATCTTTTACTGGTACAGTAGCAAAACGGATTCTAACAGCTATACAAAAATACCATCACCAAACTGGTTATTGATTTTTGGTAGGAATAAGGTATTCATCTACTAATTATTTCCGGCTGTGGGATGGGGTAGAAGTGCAGTTTAGAGCTAAACTCTCTTCTGAGAATTCGCATCCAGTGCTGCTAGGATACCTGACATGTCTGGGAAAAGTTTCTTACGTTAAATTAAAGGGACCTTACGGAGCAAGATATCAGCAGGAAACAAACAAAGGAACGAAAACAGAGCCGAGGATCTTAAAGCAGAAAAGGAGACAACAACCTCCCAAGGATTACTGAAGAACACCAAGGCTGTAAATGACCGAAGACCGTAGATGGACAGAGCGGAAGTCGGCGAGGGACAAATACCGATACAGCCTTCAATGTGCACAGGATTTCCTACGTGCCACGGGGAAAGCCCCCTCCCCAAAGGTCCAGGTGGCGCCCTGCGCTCCCATCCGCCAGCGCCCTACCTTGCCGACCATTCCCCAGGTCCAGGAGCATCAGCGCCAGCGCCAGCACCCAAACTCCGCCAGGCATCGCTGCTGCCACGGGTAGGGACAAAAGCTTCTCAGAATCCCCGCTGCGGGTGCGGGGAGGATGGGCCCACCGCAGGTCTTGCTTAGTCTGTGTCTCCTCGGCCTTCAGGGTCTCTGCTTGTCCTCGCTTTTGGGGTGCAGCCGTCCTTTCCAGGGACTGTGGCGCGAGCCTGGTGGTGACTCCTCCCTCCAAGCCCCGGCCACCTGCCCAGAAGCCACGCCCAACCTGTCCCTGGAGTCAGCTGCACGCCCCGCGGTCCTGGCGGTGAGGTCTCAGGTGCCCGCAGCAGGCAGTACACGCCCCAGGCACAAGCTCCCGGGATATAGCTTGGCACCTTGGGTCTGGCTGTTGGAACAAATGCTTTAGGAAAACGTGGTAATCCTAGAAACTGCTCAGAGGGACCTGCAATAAAAGAAGCCTTGCAAGGTTCTGTTGAAAGGGGCAGTGCCCCGTCGTACTTGCAGATGGATTTTTAATCTGTTCATCCGGGTTGCTTGTTTGCTGTTTGCTCCCCAAAGGCGAACATTCTCAGAAGTTGCCTCAGAGATGAAGGATGGCAGGAGCCAGTAGAGAGTGTTGCGACAGTAGTCCTTCTCTTCCTTTACCTCTGTGCCAGGTTAGGGAGGGAGATAATTAGATATTTTCCAAACACATGGTGTCAGTCATCATGTATTTACTGAGCAATGATGCCCAGAGCTCCCTTGGGCCAGTGGTGACCAGTGACTCAGGATCCGTACAGCGGTTCTCAACCTGTGGGTCGCGACCCCTTTGGCGGTCGAACGACCCTTTCACAGGAGTATCCTAAGACCATCCTGCATATCAGATATTTACATTACGATTCATAACAGTAGCAACATTACAGTTATGAAGTAGCAACAAAAATAATTTTATGGTTGGGTCACAACATGAGGAACTGTATTTAAAGGACCAGAAGGTTGAGAACCACTGCTTAGCACATGGTCACATGACTCCCAAGGTTGCACTGGGGATGATCTCCAATCTGAGGTTGTCTTCAGATGTGTGGTGGTCTCCGCAGAGGGAGCCCCTACCTTAAAACAAACAAAAAAACAACCCCCCCCCCACGGATTCTGCATTATGTTATTAAATAAACCTCACTCCCCTAGTTTTTCTTCGGCAGTCTCCTTCTAGTGCCCCCTTATTCACTCTTGGAACTTTGCCCTCAGAGTCTGAGGGGTCAACAGAAGTAGTCCTGGACACCTTGGGTGCCAGGGTTCAGGACAGAGTTCCACCTACAGATTTGGAGGCTTGAGGCTTGGAGTAGGCATGGTGCTAAAGACAGGAGGTGCCCAAAATACATAAATGAGTTACTTTAAAAATCACTTATAATTATTTAATTTGAAAGAGAAATTGCCATTTAAAATTTTAACACCTGTTTCCAAAAATAGAAGCATTAACCCATCTTGGGGAAAAAAATTATTCATGATGCACAAAACTTGGGTGGATCTTTTACATGCAGAGAAGGTATGTACCCTTTTCAGCATTATCCTATTACAGTATGCAGTATAAGTTAGAGTGCTCCTACTGAAAAAACACACGTCTATATAACCTCTGAATTCCTTGGCCTGTGTATGTTTTACTAGATGAGAGTCTTGCTCTCTCCCTATACATCTTTTTGAGGGGATTCATAGAAATAGTATCGGGAAAGAGGATGATGCGAGGCTCAATACTTTTGCTTCAAAAATGAATGTCTTGGCTCTGGCCCTGAGTTTATATTGGGGAAGGCATTGCTCCCAGACAGAAACACTAAATGAAACAGACATTTCATTGTCAACAACAGAACATCCCTTTTTGTTAAAGAGGAGTTAACTGGGAATTATATAATGTTTATTGCTTTTAGAAAACAATATGGATAAGCTTGGAGAGGAGTACTGCATGTCTGGCATGAATGCTGGTTATGAGAATGAATCTTTCTATACCCCCGTTCATAGCCGCATTACTCACAATAGCTAAAATGTGGAAGAAACCCAACAAAAGGTGGTATATACATACAATGGAATATTATTCAGCTTTCAAAGGGAAGGAAATTCTGGTACAAACTACAGATGTGAATACACCTTGAAGACATGCTAAGTGAAATAAGCCAGACACACAAAGACAAATACTATGTGATTCTACTTAAATGAAGTACTTAGAGCAGTCAAGTTCATAGACAGAAAATAGAATGGTGGTTGCCAAGGGCTGGGGGGAAGGACATTGGTAAATTCATGTTATGTATATTTTGCCACAATAGGAAAATTTTTTTTTAATCTTTCACCCATCAGCTAGAAAGCAAGACCTTTATATAAACAGATCTCAACATCGTTGATTCCAAAGAGACTCCTTGGAAATGTTCGGTTGAGTAGAAAGGCTTACTCCCTGATTAAATTTACTTTTGGACATAAATTCATAATCTTAGAGGTTGACAAACTAATTAGTATCAATCAGCCATGCAAAACTACATAGATTACAATATAGTGACATAAGCTTTCTCAGCTAAGCTATTTTCCTCTTATAACTCAGAATATTTTACAGAAGGCTAAGAAGTTACTTTTCACAGATTTTGTTTGTCATTTTTATATAGTAAAAGCAACTTTAAAAATAGGTATTTTAATAAATTGTTTCAACTTAATATTTCTCACAATGTGATTTAAAATGAGATTGGATTACTAAAATTCCTTTAAATGGAGTTGGAAAATGTGTATATTTTCCCTTTCAACTTCCATCCATAGACATAAGCAATACTGTTTGCATCTTAAATATATATTATAAAATACCTTTATAATTGAAATGGCTGGCTAGTAAGAGTCATGATTATACCTGAATGTTATTTAAATTCTTCTAAAAGCCTTCAATAAAACATTGTAGCAGGTGGTAAAGTTCTGTGACATTCCTATTTTTTGTTTATATTATTTATGTTACCATCCTTTTCTAAACCATAAATCATTTTGAGCCTCACCTTGTAATTATACCTTGTAATATATAATTAGTTAAATTCTATAACTGTAGTAGGAATGTTTGATACTATTGGAGCAGTAATGCTATTATTTAAGACATGAATAGTTAGATTTACAAAATAATCTAATAGATGTCAGTAAATTTAGTTTTTGTTCAACTGTCTCAAACACCTACCCTAATCCAATTTGAAATAAGTCTGAATTTTACTAGTTGCAAACCCATTTTTAAAAATAGCCTATATGATTTATATAACAAAATTTACCTGTCTATAGTGTATAATTCAATGAATAGTTGCATATTTATAGATCTGTAAAAACATTACCATAACCTAATTTTAGAACATTTTCACCACTGTAAAGATAAACCTCTCATGCCAACTTACAGTCTCTTTCCATTCCAACCTCCACTATTAAGCAACATATATCCCTTTATGCCTCTATATAGTTTGTAGATCCCTCACAGATAATTAAAAGGTGGCATTTATTATTGTTTACTTGCCTTGAACATAGTGAATTTCTTTCTTCCTTAATGTTTAAATATATGATCTTTCGTTTTATTGAAACATTTTAAACCTATCTTAAAATTTCAGTGTTGTCTTACCTGCATAATAATAAAAATAGTAAAAGAGATACTCTAGTTATATCTGAATAAACATAATTTAGAGCTTAAGAAATCATCTAGATCAATGGTTTTTAAGCTTATTAAAGATAATTTATTCAAAGAAAATAGTATGTATAAAGGCTTTGACTAAAGTGGGAGTGGAGGTTCTGGAGCCCTATCCACCAGTGAAATAAACTTTTCACTAACATATTGTCTTTGATTTGGGAAGAGAGCTGGGCTGATCATGTAGCAATTAAGAATGCAGACTTTGTGGTTGGGCAGATCTGTTCTAGAAATCCCAGTTCTGGTCACCATTATGTCTAAGCGTTCTTTGTAACACAAGAAGGTAAATGCATTCACATAGGGTTGTGGTGAGGATTAAAAGGCATAGTGAATGGAAAGCATTTAGCCCATTCTGGCATATAGTATTCACTTGATAAATGGAGCTATTATTAAATTTTAGACTGTAATGAAAGTTTTGATATGTGGTATTAAGAAAATAGAGGACTGCCCTAGCTGGTTTGGCTTAGTGGCTAGGGCGTCGGCCTGCGGAATGAAGGGCCCCTGGTTGTGGGCTTCACCCCCAGTGGGGGGCATGCGGGAGGCAGCTGATTAGTGATTCTCTCTCATCATTGATGTTTCTATCTCTCTGTCCCTCTACCTTCCTCTCTGAAATCTATAAAAAAAAAGAAAAAGAAAATACAGGACTGATGAGCTATCATTTGGTAAGCATGACTATGCATTTTTGTCTCTCTGGATCTACAGAATAAATATCTTTAAAAATTATTACACAAATGTAACAAATCAGAATTGTCTAGTTCCATAAGTTTTCAATCAAGAAAAAAACAACAATGTGAGCACTTATGGTAGTTTGGAAGGAGGGATGGGATGAGACTGTAGCTCTCCACATGTGTAACTGACAATTTATGTGCAACCAAGTCACAAAAGGGAGCCTACCTGTTAGGTGACAGTGAAACATTATGTATCTCAGTTTTACCCTTAAAATTGTGACACTTGATCTGGATGAGAAAGAAACTACACTTCAAAAGAAGCAAACAGATTACTATAATTCACTGCAAAAGGAGATCAAAAGATGAACATGTTAGGAAACATGGCTTATTGTAAATTATGTCGTGTTGAACTATGGTTTTAATGAGAGACTTCCAATATACTTTGAAAAGGCCTCTTTCTTCCCCTTTAACTACTAAAGCAAATCCCCAGTCTTGCTTCTGAATTTCCTGTTATTTTTAGAGCCACAATTGCTTCTATGAGTGGCAATTTCAACTTCAGGCAGTAATGAAATAGGCATGTGTCACTAATACACTGTAATGAAAGGATTTTGTAGATGATAGAGGACAATATCTGAATTAAATGAAGAAAGGTTTCAAAAAGCAAATCACTATATTCAGTTTTCATTTCTTAAAATCAAGTATATAGCAGGATATAAAACATGAAGATTCCTGGAAGGTCTTGGCAGAAAGATCTTTTTAAGGTCCTCTTTAAACCTGATTATTTAAACAGTGGTCAGCTTATTTAATGAATCAGCATGACTTATTCCTAGTGATAATCTCTAAAAACAACAGTAAGTATCAAATTGGCGGCACAGTGTAATTATAATCTTCTAATTGTTTTTTAATATGTTTTATTGATTTATTTTATTTATTTATTTTTTTACAGAGAGGAAGGTATTTTATTGATTTATTTTATTTTATTTTTTTACAGAGGAAGGGAGAGGGATAGATAGTTAGAAATATCGATGAGAGAGAAACATCGATCAGCTGCCTCCTGCACACCTCCTACTGGGGATGTGCCTGCAACCAAGGTACATGCCCTGCGCATTTCCGTCACAGGGATAGTGTTGTTGGCTTGTGTGCTGCTCCTCCCTGTGGCGGAAATGTGCAAGTCTGGGAGTCGTGCCAGCACGCACGCTCCCGCCTGCCCTGTTTCTCGCACTGGCATTCTCATAGTTCCATGTACTTAGCATTCTCACAGCTCCCATCTCTACCCCTGAAGTTCTTATATCCTCAT